ATATATCTATATAAAAAAATAATTATAAAAATATTCATTGAAAATTAAATTAATAAAAAGTTTGTGAATAAGACATTTCATCTAAAAAAAATTTCGTGTGAGAAATACGATTGGTTAATTTCAATTAATTCAAAAAATTCATTAAAATAAATATATATAATATTTATAAACACGATAGTATGATAAAAAATTTCTCGTATCCTATCTTATGATTTCTAGCCATATAAATATAATATATTTGTAATCAATGTTTTATAAGAAATATAAAATATAAACTATATGCTAATTAATTTGAAAATTTTATTAAAAATTTATTCAAAAATTTATTTAAATATTATTATGTATATTTAAATTTATATAAACTTATATAAATGTATATATATATAAATTTTCATTTTATTTTTTTAATATATGTTGCAATATATTTTATATATAGTTATCATACCATTCTGTGTATGTCAGACTTAAAATAAAATGTTAGCAATTGATTTTTATGCATAGCATGTTGCTCACTTGAATATGATTGATTCATGTTCGTAAATATAGATATGTTTATAATTTTTAATTTGTACAATAATTCATTTTTTAAGTAATATAATTAAGTTCTACGTTAATTTCATTGTGTTTGACAATAGGAATTTTTGATGAAAATTAACATTCATTTAATAATTGTCCAAAAAAAGTAAAGCCATTATTATCTCAAAAACCAGTATATAAGTACAAAATATAAAAAAAAAGAAATATGAAAAATAGTTCTTATACGTTAAGAAAAAGATTTAAAAATGATACTATGGAACAATTGTCAAAGAAAGAAAATAAATTACAAGTTTTATATAAATTGTGTAAGCCAGTGTATGTAAATATCATAAAATTACCAATAAATAAATCAGAGATAAAAAAATGCTGTGAAAAAGATTCATTTATAACTCAAAAAAAAGATATATTAAAAAATAGAAAACGAAAAACTAAAGATTATGTTAAAAGAATAAATTCCAAATATAATCAGTTACATCATTTATGTAAATCAAAAACTAAAACTAAATCTCAAAATGTATTATTTTCTAAAGAAATAAAAAATAAAGATAAAACATTACTTATAAAGAATTTATCAAAAAACATTAAACAACCATGCATAAAATTACATAAAATAGATGAAGTAATCAATAAAATAGCACAAACATTTGCAAAAACAATTTCAACTAAAGAATGTGCAATAAATAGAATAGAATGCATGAAAGAAAGTCAAACTGAATTAAATACATTTATTGCAGAATCAGTAGAATTATTATCTATAAATACTGATAAAAATGAATATGTTAAAAATCAAGAAACTGAAAATGCAATAATTAATCCTTATGTAAATAAAATTCCACAATCAAATGAGTACAGTGAAAATAATAATAATAAATCTTCTGATTCTGAAATTATAAGAATTACTAGAAAAGAAAATTTCAAAAAGAAACGTAAAAATGATATGAATGATGATTATGATAATAATAATAACAATGAAAATAACAATATACATAAAATTACTTTAAATAAAATAAAAAGATTGAAAAGAAATTTACCAGAGAAAACATTAGAAATTAATATAGCACATGAAGATGCTAAAAAAGAATATATAGATGAAAATTCAATGTTGCAATTAGGATCATTAGATGTTACTAATGAATTATTTAATCTATCAGATAAAAAAAATTTAAATATAAAGGAAAATATAAATATATCACAGCAGGAATTAACTATATCAAATAAATTATCTACAATATATGATTCTGATAATGAAAACAATGATCTTGATCAAAACATACAAGAAGATAATTCCAATTTTATGCCTTTAGAATTAAATCTTGTAAGTATTATAGAAAATGATACTTCTGTAAACACAAGAAATCATGATATTATGGCAATTGAAAAACCAATTTTAAAAGACAAAAATATTCAAAAATCAATACAAGAATCATTTAATTCTAATAGACATTTTATACAAAAATATAAACTTTTTAAAGAATTAAGAATCTTTTTAATAAAATTTGATGCTTTGAAAAACTTTAATAATAAATATTCAGCTAAAGAAATTGAGAAATTGATAGAAACATATATAAATTCTTCAACAAATTTTAATATTTCAAAACTTCAAAAAAATAAAAAATCTATAAATAAAATGTCACTTACATTTAAAAATGTTAATGTTAACTCTGATGAATCTATAAATCATATTTCAAATTTAAACATTTGTGAAACTGCAAATAAAAATATTTGCATAACTGCCAAAGAAATACAAAGCATAATTGAACCATTATTAATTTTTTCAAAAAAATCATCTTTAAATTCAATTAATAAAGAAAAAGTAAAAAAAGAGGAAAATTTAGAAATTCAAAAAAATTGTCATAATTTAACAAAAATATTTGAAAACAAATCTGAAGAAAGATTTAAGCAAAATAGAATTAATAATTCAGAACAAATATCAGATTTACTTTCTATTACTAAACCTATATTATCTTCTTCACATGAGTCTATTAATGAAACTTCTAACTTATCAAATGTATTTGAAAATACTGTTAATATTAAAAAGTCAATAAATATGTTAGATATAAATTCTGTAACAAAATCCACTAATGAAATGTTATGCTTAAAGGAAGAAATAGTAAAAACTTCTCTATGTAAGCAAAAATCAATTTCAGAAAACATGAAAGTTAATACACATATTAAAGATACTACAAAAAATGTTTTAACTTATTACTCTTCCATGATATCTCCAATAAAAGATAAAAAACTTAAAGATAAGAAAGAGACTAAAATTTCTACTTATAAATGTATTGTTTGTGATCTTAATTTTAAAGAATATTCTGATTTGCAGTCACATTTAATTATTCATACACAAAAGCAAAGTAATACTTTATCAAGTATGTCGAAAAATATTAATGAATCATCTGAAAAATCTCAAGAAATCGTAACTTGTTTTTCAGAAATAGAAATGTTAGAATCACCAAAAATATCTGAACAAAAAAATACGGAATATGTGTCAAAATTTCTTACTAGTGATAATAATAAACAATTAAAGAAAAAAGATATAACAAAAAATTTAATAAATAAAGAGAAAAAGAAAAAGATTGAATGTATTAATAATTCAAATGAATGTAGTATTTGTTTACAAGATTTTCTAACAAAAACTGATTTGGCAACTCATATTTATTTACATACAGAAAATGAATTGCAACAAGCTTATAAAGTTGCAAAACAAAAATCAAATGAGAATGAAAAGACAAAAAATAAAGAATTTAAACAAAGCAAAACTAAAAAATTTATTGATAGTAAAAGTAGTATAATATCTAACACAATTCAAATAAATGAAAAAATTAACAGTAAAGAAGAATTGTTATGTGTACAAGAATCAGATAAATCAGATAAATTAATTAGAGAAAATTCTAAAATTAAAGATATAAAATTCACTGCTTTCAAAGAAAATGATATGCAAAATATAGAATTACCAATGAAATTAGATAAAGAGAAAATAAATAAAATAGAATGTACCAAAAAATCATTTACAATATGTGAATGTCACAAACCAGGAATCAATGAAAATTGCTTGCAAATTGAAATAGTTCTTCTTTGTCATACTTGTAGAGTGTTATATAGAAGTATAAAATGTTTTGAGACTCATTATCGTCTTCCTGAATATGCAGACTGTAATCAAAATTGCTTAAACAATGGTCGTTCTCCAAATTTATTTTGTGCTACTTGCAATATGATATTTAATTCAGTTCAAGATGTACGTCATCATTTAGAGATACACGCCCGTTTTAAAAAAAATTCTACAATGGAATTTCGATGCAACATTTGTAAAGTTATATTTTGTGGAATAGGAACTCTTTTCTATATTCATTGGTCAAAACATGCAAGAGATTCTTTATGGATGGCTAATGAGCAATCATTTCCAAAGAATTCTATAATAAACTCAAAACTAAAAAAAAATTCTTCAATGAATTTAAATATATCTACAGAAGATTATATTCAAGTTGCAGAATATGTTTGCAACAATTGCAAATTACCTTTTATTAATGAAGATGATTTAAAAGAACATATTCAAAAGTGTAATAAATCTAATTTATTTAAAAATACAACTACTATAGAGAACTCTAATAACATTGTTCAGACAATAAAAGTAACTTGTAATTTATGTGACAACACTTTTAAAAAAAATGAATTTTATAAGCACATAAAAAGTAAACATAATTTTAGTGATCCTCAATTTCTTTGTATATCACTTGCAACTGCAAAATTAGTATTTATTTGCAGTATTTGTATGGTAATAACTGAAAATTTTTATGATTTTGAGGATCATTGGTTGACGCATAATATAATTCATGTAAATTTTACTTGTACACATTGCAATACTAAATATCATAATAGTTTAAATTCTTTTATAGAACATGCTAAAAAACATAAAGAAAGTTATAATATATTGTCCTGTATAGTGAATTATGAAAAAGCAAAATTTATTTGTGAATTTTGTAATATTGGTTTTAAGTCTTCTCAAAATATGCAAGAACATATTACTATTCATAAACAAATATATTTTAAAACTGATCAAGTTACAAATCATAATAATTCTGCATTATTATCAAAAAAAAATCATTCTTCCAATTTTACAGCAACTGTTGAGAAACAGATAGAGAAAACATCACAAATGAAAACTCAAACAATAAAAAAAATAAATAAGATTTGTTCAACAAAATCTGGTATAGACAACGATACTGAGAAATTAATCAAAATACTAGAAGGAAATGAAGATGATTCTGAGATAGTAATAGATTTGATAAACCAATCAGAATCATTAAATGATGAAAAACGTAAGGAAAAAGAAATTACTTCTAATAATACTTCTAATATATTAGAAACGTCTTGTATTAATCAAACTAATATAATGTTGAAAAATAATATAACTAAATCACCAGTAACAAGTCTAAATGTTCAAACATCTTCACATTTTACAAATTTAGAATCTTCTCCAAATATTTTAAATTCACGAACATTTAATTCAAACGTTAAATATACGAATGTTTTGCAAGATTCAGATATATCTTCAAAAAAGATTAATAATAATGATAG